TTCTTTATTCCTCTTCAAAATTACATTTACTATTCTTGGTCCTTTACTCTCATATGAATTTTAGCATAGAAGACGTCTTATCTGGATTTTTAAAAAGTTGAATTTATAGGCTAATGTTGGGAAAGACAGCTTTTTATCAAATTGAATTTTCTCATTGATGAACATGGTATACCTTATGATCTATTTAGTTTTTTTTTTTTTTTTTAACTTCTTTCAATTACATGCTGTAGTTTTCTCCACAGAATTTTTATGTAGCAGTAGTTAGATTTATTCATGGGTAGTTTTTGTTGCTATTGTAGGAATGTGTCTTTACATTACATTTTATGATTGATTGCTGCTTATGAACAGGAATGCTATCAATTTATAAATTTTGTTCTTGGATCCAGGAACTTCACTAAACTCTCTTATATGTTTTAATTGTTTGCATATTTTCTATTATGCAATCACATCATCTTCAAATAACTACTATTTTGTTTTTTTCATTTCAATCATTATACTTTATGAATTATTTGTTCTTTTGTCTTGTGGCATTGGCTACAGCCTCCAACACAATGTTGAATAGAAATAGCAATAATAAACATTCTTGTTCTATTACTGACTTTAAAAGCAATACTTCTAAAATTTTACCTTCATATATTATTTGGACTACAGATTGGTGTGGCTATCCATTGTCAGATTAAAGAAGTGTTCTTTTATTCCTAGTTTGGAACCTGAAGAAAATCATGAACATGTGCTGAATTTTATTAAATGCTTTATCTGCTCCTTTTGATTGGTAAACTTTGTATGTCTTCCGGGTGTGCTTAAAAAATGATTTGTATTCTCTAATAGCTGGTTGTAGGACTCTATATCTTAAGTTTGTTAATTACGTTGTTCGAATCTTTTACAATCTTATAAATTTCTACTTGATCTACCCATTTCTGTTAGTGGTATGTTAAAACCTCCCATTTCTCCTTGTAATTCTGTCAAGGAGTTTAGGGCTCCAAGCAGGGGAATGATGAGGACAGATGTGCAGAAAGGTAACTCTATGAGTGTAGTGGGAAGCTTAGGTATCACCCAGATAAGGGACAGATCCCTAAGTCTTCTAATGCCAACCATGTTGGGGACCCAGAGCTCCAGGAATCACCACAGGCATTCTCTCAGGCTCTGAATTTCAGCTTCCCTCCTCCTCCCCATCCCCTGCCTTACCTGGCTCAGGCTGGAACCCTGGCCTCTGCCCAGGTTTCTCTTGAGTCTACTCAGCCTGCCTGGGATCCCAGCCCTGCTTCTGGATTGAAGGCAGGGGGGTAAGGAGCAGGCAGTGAGAACTGGAACTCAATAAAGCTGATTGGAGCTAGAACACGGAGGAGCAAGAACTAGAGGGGATAGAGTGGAGGTGCTGGGTTAGGATTGAGCCCTCTCTGACCCCAGGCCTTAGCACATGCTGTTCCTTTCAGAAAGCCCTCCCTCTCTGACCTGCCACACCAAAGTTATTTCAGCTATGTTGCAACATCTGGTTTGTGCCTTCAAGTATCTCATGTTGTGGTTATTGCCGGTTCAGGTGATTGTTTCTCCCAGCTGGCTGAGAACTCCATGAGGGCAGGCACCGTGTTTTACTGGTTTTGTATTCCAGCACCTAGAACCACACCTGGCACATACTAGGTTTTCACTACACAAATGTTGCTTGGAAGGATGGACGAGTAGGTGAAAGAATGACGAGATAGAAAAGTGGAAGGGTGGATGGATGGATGGCCAATGAGGGGCTTCAAGCAGGATGAATATATGGATGGAAGGATGAATGAATTGATGGGATGGATAGATGGGTCAATGGAAGGATAGATACAAGCATGGATGAACAGATAGGTGGGTGGATGAAGAGATGGATGGATGGGTGGATGGATGGATGGATGGCAAAATAGGTGGCTGAGTGTTAAGATGTTCTTGAGGCAGGAGGCTGGCTTCCATGACTGTTTCTATGGGCTATCTTCATTCCATGAGGAAATTGCTCACAAATTCTGATGGCAAAGGGGCAGGAGGCCTCACTCTCTGGATACTAATCTTCCAAACATCATTCAGTTCTACCACTGGGCAGCTTCCTCCTGGCTTCACAAAGACTGTGACAAGGGTTTAAGGGAGTGGGAGGTGCTGAGTAGTAATCTTGACTCACGCTGTGTGACTTATGGTAAATCTCTTGCTCCTTCTGGGTCTTAACTGTCCCTTCTATAAAATGAGGGGATCAGTATAGATGTCTTTTCAAATGTAAAATATCCAATTTTGGTGTAATTTTTAAACATACTCAAGGGAGTTTATTCATGGGTACTAGAATACCATACATATTATAGTTATCACAGAAATAAAATGGAGTCTAGTAACTATTATGCCTAGAAATTTTAATTAGAACATTTATTTGCTACACTTTATGTCCTTGAAAAAATACACTTCATTTTGTTTTCTCTTACACTGGGGTATTAGTTGTTGAGTTCATAAAACTAAGCATTCTTGCTAAGGGCCCTTCCAGCTCTAGGTTCCAGATCTTTGTATCTCTTACCTTCCTGGAGACCCGCAAGTTAGGATACTCACTGCACTGCCTCTATGGGACTGGGGCCCCCGGGGCTGGGAAGAGTGGATATTGACTCACAGAGGCTAGAAGGGATGGTTGAGTCAGCTGTTGCTAGGAATGACTGGACACTTGCACACCATGACCCCTCCATTTCTTTAAACAGATCTTGCTTTGAGCAAAGGCAGCACAAGAGGTGAAATAACTCCGATGTCATGGCACTTCTCCAGGCTTCGGTTCCTGAGCACCACCAGGCACTGCAGATCAGAGGGATAATCTCAGACTAGTGAAGGCTTGACACTCACTAGGACTGCCCTGGGCCAGTGAAGTCCTGGGAGATGCCCTCGAGACTAGTTGTGGTCCGTAGACAAGCAGACAGGTGCAATGAAATGTTGCCAATGCTATGATTAGCATGAACCTCGATTTTTGCATGAGAGGAAATGAATGGTTATGGAGTGACTTTAAAAACTAGAATACTAATATCAAAGCCTTCCACTACCCTGTTAAGCAGGAGGTGGGGGCAGCCTGGGAGTATGGTTGTTTACCACGGAACGGCCTCCCCACAGACTACAGCAGTGCTTCACAAACTTTAATGTGCGTACAAATCTCCTGCGGATCGTTAAAGTGGAGATTCTGATTCAGTAGCACTGAGTGGGGATTTCTCACAAGCTCCCAGATGATGCTGGTTCGACTGGAGCAGTGGGAGCGCGGGGAGGGGCGTGGCAGGTGGGGGCAAGAGGTGGAAAAGAGGAAGCTGGAGCAGTTCTAAGTGTCAGAGACGGGGAGTAGCTTGGTGACAGGATGCACTTGTCTGAGGACAGTAGCAATGGAGGACCGGCAGGCCGTGTGGATCAGGTGCAGCACCACTCGTACAGGACAAATGAAGGGGCTGTGCTCTCTCTCCCCTCCCCCAGGCCCTCACTACAGGACTATGAGCTTCTGTGGGCGGGGTCTCAGTCTCTGTCTTCTCTCTCTCCCTGGCAGTGCCCAGAAAGTCTTTGAGAGATGTTTCCCCATCTCAGAAATGGGAATAACCTTGGCTTTCTCTGCCAGCAGGAATCCCTGGGGGGCAGAGTTAATTGCTCCACTACTATCCAAAAGGTTGGCAGTTTGGTTCCAACCCACCCAGAGATGCCGCAAAAGAAAAGCTTGGCAGCCATTTGCTTTGCAAAGGTCACAGCCTTGGAAACCCTATGGAGTTCAGTTCTACTCTGCACACATGGGGTTGCCGTGCGTCTGGACGGTAACTGGTTTGGGTTTCCCCGCTCCCCACCTCTACCAGAGGGACAAGACTGGAGATGTATTCATAGACATTTTCTTTCCTCTTCCACCCAACTGGGGCCAGCAGCCCCAACTCCAACCTTATCTTTCCACCAAAATGGGGCATCTCCAGGCAAGTCCTGAGCCTCTACTCTGGTGGAGGCTGCCATCTGGCCCTCCAGCTCTCTGCCGCAATATGTAGACCTGGGAAAACAAGATGAGCACGGTCCAAAGGGGCCACATTCTACTCAAGGCCATGCAACCAGGGGAGACGCAACTGCGGCCTCGTTGCAAGACCCTACCACCTGCCAGAAGGTTCCTCTGTAAGCTGGAGAGGACCATCCCCTTGCAAGCTAAACGACCCTGTGTGAAGACTGATTTGGAGATTGTCACTCCTACTTTGCTTCGATGTTAAATTCCCTTTCTTGTATGAAATGGCAGCAGGTAGTTGCTTACCCCGATTTATACAGACTTTGACAAAGGAGTTGGAAACCAGCTTATTCCCCAGTCGTACCGAAGACTTGCTAGTGGCCCGGTGGGAGCTCTACCCTTTGGTCAGCCCCAGCTCTGCCTTCCTCGGGGACTGACCTGCATTTCCTGTCCTGCCCCTTGTGCAAATTCATCCTTCAGAATCACCCAGAACACACCTTTGTAGCCAAAAGGCTGAGGATCTCCCTGCAACACCTACATTTAAGCTTAAATAGAACGATGCAGGTTTTCAGGGTCCAGATGGTTCACAGACACTTTGAAGTTTCACATGAAGTTCACTGCATTTAATTTTTTTCCAAAAAGTTTTGTATTAACAGCTGTACAGGTCCTTTGGCGTTCACCTGTGGCCTTCCCCTTGGGGAACTCTGTCCTGCCCATCTGTCCACAGGAAGTCCCAGCTCCCCATCCCGGAGCACTATGGCCCTTATACCTGGATGACGCGGGCTTGGGAAAGTGCAAAGGATTCCTCTTACGCATCCAAACAATCAGACTTTTTTCGGGATAGGCGGGGGTGCGTGGAAGTGGTTTGCAAGGAGACTAGTGCACGTCCAGGGATGTGGGTACCTCTCTGTGACAAAGGAAATCACCCAGGTTCTCTTCTGGGGGAGAACTGACAAGCTGGGGACAGCGAGGCAATTAAAACGCAACAATCAAACCAACCATTAAATAGTAACTTTTAAAAATATAAAAACAGCTCATTACAATGACTTTCATTTTCTTTTTTTTTTCAGGATTTAACTTTCTTTTACCCTCACCCTCGTTGTGGCTAGAGCCTTAACAAGAGGTGGCAGATGAACGTGTGACCCAAAAAGAGAGACTCTAGAAGAACCCCCCAACCCCTAGAGGCACAGGGCGCCAGGCTGGCCTCCATATCACGACTTCCTGTCAGAGGAGCTGCGCAGCCCTGGAGCAAGGTCACTGAAGGCAGGAGTGTTCACGGAAGCCCCTCCTTCCTTCTCACCAGGCAGAATCACACCTTATAAAACAATCCGTAAAAATGCAGTATAAAAATTATCTTCCATATGCTACATCCACGGAGAGCCCACCACCGGGGCTCACAACGGCCTTCAACTTTTCTTTAAAAGAGGAAAAAAGGACCAAAAAACCCCAAAAATAACAACCCCAACACCTTAGAACATTTCGGTACCAAAAAGTGGTACCTACAGGAGACAATATTCTAACTGTAGCCTGTTCGGGCCCATAAGGACCGAGGGGCAAGAAACCATCACAGAGTGAAGAGGACTGTCCCCATCTCCCACCCTTACCCCCACCACACTGGGCTGGGTGGGATAATCCTTTCAGACTTGCAACCCTATAGCTAATAGACTTTTTCCCCTCTGCGGGGAGGAAGGGGGTCACAGGCAGGAAAGGGGAGAAGGCATTTTATAAAAGAATATCACTTCTAATTCTTTTTATTCAAATAAAAAAAAAAAAAAGAAAGAAAGAAAAGCACCCACATCAGTTGCTATTTTTCTCGGGTAGCTCCCTGAGCTGACTTGCTATGCTTTCCCCTAACTTTGTTTCCTTTTTAGGCTATGTCCGAAGATTAAGGGGGGCCGGGGAGGGAGTTCCTTTGAACTTCCATTTCTCTTCACAATACCCAAGTGTGCGCCAAAGAAAGAGACCGAGGCAGAGGAGGAGAGAACGAGCATGAGACAGAGACCAGAGGGAGAGACAGACAGGGCAAAGGCAGACAGACGGCACGAGACCACGGAAAAATCGGCTTCTGCCAATGCGGTGCTCAGGCTGGCACTCGTCTCCAGCACTGTCCATCAGTCTGTCCATCTGGCACTCAGCCCTGACATAGATCGGACAATCCCCAAACCCATGCAGAGATGCGCTCATTCCAGTGGGTGCCTGATGGTCAGTCTCGTTACCAGCTGCCACTCCCTCCCTCCCCCAAAGAATTTTTCCCCCATTCCATCCCCTCCTCATTTTGCTTCCCCTCCCTGTCTCCCTTTTCAGATGGGAACGTTTGTTAACCAAAACAAAAAAACAAAAAACAAAAAAAGCCACCACCACGAGTGGATTACAAATACAGCAGGCGAAATACACGGCGAGGGGTTCCCACGGGAAGGGGCCTCCTTCCCCACTGACCAGTCCGCTAGCAGTCTGTTATTTACATTTTTCACAAATCTTGTGCACTGCACAATCGGGAAAAAGAGATTCCCCCACCCCCAGCACAAAAATGTGGTCCACTCCAGTGTCCCCGACCCCAGGAAGGGGGCAGGTCGAAAGAAAGGGGAAGTAGAGAGAAAGATTTATGAGGGTGTCTGTGGGGAGCCAGAGCCACAAGCCTCCAAGTAACTCTATTTGTAGCATCTGCCAGGGTTGTGAGGGGAGGGGAGGAGGCGATCCATCGGAGTCTGTGAGCCACGTCAACCCATGCCCAGAAGTCCGCACGTGACGGGCGCATGCCCTCGCAGCCTGCCGGGGCGCAGCCTGGAACACGCGGCTGCTCGCGGCCCATCCTCTGCATCCTCTGGGGCCTCGCGCGTGGGGTCTCACTGTCAGAGCTGTTTCTCCCAGAGTCTGACAGCCCTGTTAGAGTCCTTGTTTAGTAGATGACCTCATAAACTGTGGCCTTCTTGTCACCAGAGCCTGTTACAATATATTTGTCATCCGCTGAAATGTCACAACTCAAGACAGACGAGGATTCTTTAGACTGGAGAAGGAAGACGAGGAGGAGAAGCCGCAGGGTGCAGGGTGGGCGTGTGGGGAGAAAAAAGACACAAGTTCATTTTCTCAGGACTCAACACTGTCTATTTCAATACCATCTGAATTAAACCACCCTCTACCCAGTCTGGAGCACCAACCTTGAAAGCCACACAGCAGAGGCAAGGTAGGGAGACTGTCACCTCAGCCCAGACAAGCCTTTTCAGTTAGAAATTCCCCTTCCACCTGCTTTTCTATCAGGAAAAGCCCATTACCAGGTCCGCTGTGATCGTTAAAGTAAGTTTTAAGGATCAAAATAGAACACTAGCATGAGCATCTCTTCTGCGTTTCAAAATAAAAGGCGTTTCTGCGAGAGGAGTCAGCAGACCAGACTGTCGGGCTGATGATATCATAAAAGGATCTGGGCTCTGATTTCTGAAACCACCAGTATAAGTACAGAGACTCTGAAAGTTGTGTGTGTGACACACTGGACATAAGACATCTCCAGCATGAATCCAGAAAGGGGTTTGTGGACCACGAGAGACAGAGTACAAGCATGTGTGTGAGCGACAGAGACAACGGGTATGCGTGTGTGTGTGTGTGATTGAGCAAGAGTGAGAGTGTGTATGTGAGAATGTTTGTGTGACAGCAGTATGTCGAGCCTCAGATCTTGAAAATTTCTAAAATGCTTCTTCGCCTTCCCTCCGCTCTTTCTGGACCCTTTCTCCTGCCCGCCTCCCTCCTTCCATCGATTTCCTGAGGTGAATGCACTGACTTGAACAGATAATACTGCTCTGAAGAAAGGCTGCTCAGTTTGCTCCACTGCGCTCAGCACACAGGCCCAAGCAAACGGGACAATTTACTCCCTCCATTTGCTCTCTAAATCCTACAATGTTGTTGTTAGCGGCCCCTGAGTCAGCCCCCAACTCATGGCGGCCCCAGGCACACGGCAATCAAATTGCCTGATCCTGCACTATCCCCATGATCGGTTGCTAATCGGACCGTGTGGTTTTCACAGGCTGATTTTTGGAAGTAGGTCACCAGGCCCTTCTTCCTAAGTCTGTCTTAGTTTGGAAGCTCTGTGAACCCTGTTTGGCGTCGTAACAACATGCAAGCCTCCACTGACAGATGGTGGCTGAACATGAGGTGCATAGGAGGGAATCAAACTCGAGTCTCCCGCAAGGAAGGTGAGAATTCTACCATTGAGCCACCAGTGCCCCCCAAATCCTACAAGAGCCCCTGCATAAAAGCTCTCACCCTCGGTGTCAGAGCCATTAGCAGAGGAGTGTATCACTAGGCCCTCCTGGTCTCTATTTTCTCGGCTCTCACACTGATGTCCCCAAGTCGTCTCATCTGGAGAACCCATCTTTTATCCCCAACAGGGGGGGCTGGCAAGGGGCAATGGCAGGTCTGACCCTGGCTCCTCGTGCCCTGCCTCCTGCTCCCGCTGCCCCCACGGCACTGCCGAGATGGTGGTGGTACCTGGAATATGCTGGCTCCGTAAGGTGTCCTCCAGGCGTTGAGGAGGTTGTCTTTCCCAGTGCTCACAAACCACTTGCCTGAGGGGGGAGGGGACGGAATCGTCAGCGTGCGGCCTGCTGCCCTCTAAGCAAGCCCCGCCCAGCCTGCCCACCGCAGCTGCCCAGACAGGGCCGGCTGCCATGGAAACGCACTGTGAACTCCTAACCAGTGCTTAGCACAAAGCTCCGCTCAGAGAGGCGTTTTGCAGGAGACACATAACAGACACATGGGCAGTCAGAGAAGGCCTTTCTCCACAATCAAGGGGGAGGCACAGGAGGGACGCAACGGGGGAGGTAGGATTCAGCTAATCACAGGGATTACAGTCACCAAGAAAAGGTGCTTTTTAAAGCCACGGAGGTCAACTGACCCTTCCAAATTCCACTCTGGGAAGGTGGCAGGAAATAAGGGAAACAGCAAAGCCCCCAGAGTCTGGAGACCCGGCTCAAGAGGGCAGTGGTGGGTGCCCTTCCTCTGTGCAGGCACCCTGCCAGCTCCCCTGTGCTGACTCACAGCTGCTCCCCAGAGCCACGGGGCAGATGCCGAGCTATTCCCCATCTACAGAGAAAACTAGATGGGGGTTCAGAGGGGGTGACATGTGCCCAAATCTTAACCCCTTGGAGGAACTGCCCACACTGCTTTAAGGAGCTGTTCCTTTGTCCCAGGACAGCGAGGATGGCTTCTGGCCTTGGTGTCTTGAGTGCCTATACCCTGTGGTAGCATCAGCGACCGAGAGGCAAGGTGTGTGTGTTTGGGGTGGGGGGGGATGGGGGGGCGGGAATGAGATCCCCAAAGGATGGCAAAGGGGCCCTGACCTGGGATTATGCTCCTTTTGTAAGCTCTGAGCCCCTCAGGCGGGCAGCTAGCCCCATGGGCCAGGCCGTCCCAGGCTCCCTGTCCCAGGCTCCCTGTCCCGTCCACCAGGCCTGGCCAGCAGCCCTCGCCCGCGAGGCTCACCACAATAGGCAAACTTGAGGGAGAGCACGCAGCTCTCGTGCAGGTGCAGCTGGTACTTGTCGGGCTTGGTGTGGTGCAGCACCTCCACGTTGCTGCTCTCCATGCCCACAGCCAGCCACTCCCCGGTGGGGCAGTACCCCAGAGAGAAGATCTGTGGGTGGGGGGAACGCAGAGTCAGCACCCTCTGCCCTCCAGGGCCAGGGGTGGTACCCAAAGGCCCATGCTCAGGTACCCTGCGGTTCAGAGTACCGCCCCCCCCAGCCCCTTCCCATCTCACCTCCCTTCCATTTGCAAAATAAGCCCTCCCCAAGCCCAATAACCCAGCGGTATGGGCTATCATTTCAGCCCCCATTCTAGAGACAAGGAAGCTGAGACTCAGAAAATCAGCAGTAGAACCAAGATTCAAACAGACGTGGCACCAACATTTCACTTTCAAAGGCATCTCCTGTCTCTGTGACTTGCCTTTACTTCAGAAAAAAGGTGAGTAAATACTAAAAGATTAAATACCTAAGTATTTAATATTAAAATAGTAAAATGAGTAATGAAAAACACCCAGTAGGAATAGTATCCCCTGCATCTACTGAATAATTTCTGTGGGTCAAGTTTGTGGCTAGTATCATTTTGGGTTACTACCACTCCCATTCCATGAGAGAAAAAACAGAGTCCAGAGGTTTGGATGCTAGTGCAGCCAGAATCAAACCCAAGCAGCAGGGTCAGGTGCCTGTGACTCCAAAGCTTTACCCTCTCAATTTCATTGCTGCTTCCTCCAGGAGGCCTTCCCAGATTGCTGACATTGGTCCCACACCCCTTACAACACCCTGACGTGACCACTGGGGGCCTGGAGGGGAAGGGAACAGGCTGCTGCGGGGCAGGGAGGGGAGCCTCAGGCCTCGCACCTGAGAGGTGAAGTCATGCTGCTGTAGCTGCCGGCCCTCACGCAGGTCCCAGGAGCGCACGGTGTTGTCCAGGCCCCCCGTCCACAGCTTGGTGCCGTCATGGGAGATGTCTATGCAGCTGGCCCCATCCGTGTGGCCCTGGAACTGCCTAGGAAGGCCAAGCGGGCGGGGGGGGGGTGACCCCAGGGAACCATGGACTGCCAAGCTGGCAGCACTCCCAGGAAGTGGGCCAGCTCTGCCTCTGAGCAGAAGGGGAAACTGAGGCCCAGAGGGGGCACACCACCCGCCCAAGGTCCCTCAGTGAGCCTGCAGCAGAGCTAGGCTTGGGCCCTTGCCCTGAAACTGAGCCTCTCCAGGGTTTTGGGGTTGCTTAGACCAGGCCAAGGGGCTGGGCCTTCAGGGAGCCCATGCTGCTCTGGGGGAGGAAAAAGTGGAGGTCCAGGACAGGGAGGCAAAGACAGGAAGGTCCTTGATCGTTTTCTTGTAAGATGATCAAAACGGAGTCAGCAGGCCGCACTGCCTTTAGCACACAGCCGCTCAGCTGACAATGCCTCCACCCTCCCACCCTGCAAAAACTACATGGCCGAGGCCACAGGCATGCCTGATGAGAATGGTATAACAAATCAGCTGATGTGGCTGAGGGCTCGCTCTGGGCCAGGCACTGCTGCCCACCTTCGCCAGATGCTACACTGTTTCCACTTTACAAACACTGAGGTGACCTGCACAAGGTCACAGCTCTCCCGTGCTCTCTGCCGTCTTTGCTAATCTGTATTGCAGGTTTCCAACTCCATTTTCTTCCCAAAGCCTCCTCCAAGGAGCCCTCTGTCCTCTGCCCACACGGAGCACTGGCATGCAGCTGCACCCTCGCCCAGGCCAGCTGGGCTGTCTTCCGTGACCCTCTCATCCTTACTTTCCTGGCCACCCAGACAGGGCCATGGCTGCAGCCCAGAATGCCAGGCAGGACGGAACCATCCAGGAGGAGGCACCATGCTCCCACCTGCGGGCCTCACCTGACCAGGGTCTGGTTGTGTAGGTCCCAGACGGCAATGTTCCCGTCGCTGCAGCAGGAGAAGCAGACTTTGGCGTCGGGGCTGATGGCCAGGGCGTAGCAGGCGGGAGCCGAGGACGTCAGCTCGGCCTTAATGCGGGGCGTGGGCGAGGCCAGGTCCCAGATGGTGAGCGTGCTGGCCTCACCACCCACGATGAGCGTGCGCCCATCAGGGAGCAGCTTGCAGGAGCGGATGTAGTTGTCCCTGTTCTGGGGGCAGAAGAGGCAGTGGTGAGCGCTGCCCACTGCCCTCCTGGGGACACGGGGCAAGCTCGCCACCCGGGCTCACAGCAGCTGTCAGGCCTTCCCATTCCTCATCCACACCCTTTCACCTTTCACACATTTCTTCACAAATCCCAGCAGGTCAGTATCCTCCCCACCTTCAGATGACAAAACTGGGGCTCACAGAGGTTAGCCAGCTTGCCCAAAGTTGCCCAGCCGACACAGGGCTGAGCCAGGTCAGTCTCCGGGGCTCTCCCCTCAGGCCCAGGCTGCCCACTCTCCTACACCACAGCTTGAGGGGATGCCATAGCCCTGGGGTTCTCACCAGGCAGTCCAGCTGGGAGATGGGACTCTTGCTGCCCGGCTGGCTGATGTCCCAGATCTTCACGCAGCCCTTGCCACCCGTGTAGACGTGCCGCGTGGGGTTGCTGATGGTCACGGCACACACCACCTCCCCGTGGCTCAGGGTGTTGATCTGGCGGGCGTGCCTGGGAATGCCGGGGCCTGCCAGGGCGTCGTGGGGGAAGGGCACGGGCTGCATCTGCCCATCAGCGCTCACGTGGAAAGAGTAGGCTCTGGAACGGTGAGGACCATCACGCTGCCATCTCCGGCCTCTCACGGCAGATCCCACAGGTCCCGCCCAGTTCAGCCCACACGCCCCATGAGCTGGCCTCCTTGCCTCCAGGCTCCTCTCTCACGGAATCTTGGGGAAACACCGCTCTGTGCAAATCATCCCCTGCCCCAGAGCCACTGATGGCTCCTCACTCCACTCAATGGCCTCAACCCCTTGGCCTGGCTCCACCTGGGTGAGGACCACCTAACATGCCAACCTTGACTTTTACTCCCATTTGTCCATCCTTGCTCCAATCAAATCCCTCCTTCACACCTACCTCTTCACGCAATCTACATACAACCTGATAGGCTGACCTAGGAAAAGGCCCCACTTAAATGCATCTCCTCCGTGATGCCTTCTCTCCTACCCCAGCTGGAAGAACCCTTCTGAGAATCAGCTCTCAATTCTCTAGGTTTGCTCTGACCTTCTATCACAGAGACTCACAAGTTCAAATTCGGGGCCTGGCAGGTAAGGGGACTGAGTGTGCAGCAGGCTTCTGCTCTCCTGCTTTTGACAGATGTGGGGGAAGACGAGTATTAACGTCACAAAAGCAACAAGGCAGATGCAAGATCAATAGCACCTGACCCCATGTCTTAGGGCAAGATAGGGAGTATGGGGGCTGTCTGACTCTCCTGTCATGTCTTAAGGGTCAGCCACGACTGTCCTAGTGATGCCGGGACAAAGATGGACCAGGAAAGCCAGGCCTTCAATCTTTCACAAGAGAACCCAGAAATCTCACTATTTATGGGAAATCTCCTAGTGCGTCAACGTCAGCCTTTCTAAGGGGCTGTATGCGCTACACAGGCACCTCTGTGGGCTATGTGGCTCCAAGAGCCACAACCAGGCACTTCCATTCTCTATCCAAGTACACTCATCTCCTATTATCTCCTCATATTACAGCCACTTCCCTGCATGTCTGGGGGCCTGTCAAGGTGAGCTCCATGGCTGAGCCATTCCTCCATCTATCCAGAAGCCCTAGAGAGACCCTGCACACAAAAACAGTCAAGAAGCCAGCCACGCCCCCTGCCCACAGCTCTGAGGGTTACAGCTCCGGCCACTGATGCTGCCACTGAACCACCGCCAGTGCCACGCCTCCCTGCAGAGCCACCTTCCTCGCTCAGAGTCCGGATGCCAACTCCGTTACCTACACCAGCTAATGGTACGACACACGGAAACCTGTATACCCCTGCAAAAATGAACGGCAGTGTGTGCATCGAAGCCAGGGGGAGCCAGCTTGGTCTGCTGCCGTTTCAGGCTACTGGGGTGCCCCTGGAATAACGTCAAGATTCTCAATGATGACGATCTGTCAACGTGTAAGTGTCAGGCACTGCCCTCAGCACCATATGGGCTGCTCAGTCTTTTAACCTTCACGACCACCAGACCACCAGGAAGGGGGAGGACAAAGGAGGGAGCATGTTCTCGGGGGAGACGTGCCTGAGGCTGGCAGTGCTGGGGTGTCCCAGCCAGGTGGAACCCAAACGAGCAGCCCAGGCCTGCGACAACTGTGGATTTGGCTCCGAAGGCCCCAGCATCTGAAGTTCTCCTTCTCTCCTGGAGCCCAAGGTGGACCTCAAGACCATATCCTCCATACCCCCGTGGTTCCCCTGGGCAAGGGAGCCCTGGGCTGACCAGGGGTGTGGCTTGGGTTGGAACCTGACCTGTTAGTGCCTCAGAGGAGCAGACACCTTCCCCAAAGGGAGGTCCACAGGGCAGACCCATGGCCGGAGGGGTTGGGGTGTGGCTCTCCTCTGTCCCCATCCCCACCCCCTCCCCCGTGAAGCACGTAAAAACTATAGCCAAAGCTTACGGTTTTCCACCAGGAATGGAGGCGAGGCTTGAGGGCAGGCCTGTGGCCCGCATGGGAGGGTGGGGGTCGAAACCAACCTGTAAGGCAAGACAAGGCCAGCCCTTACCCAGGGATGCCACTGCACCCTCCCCCCACCCCGCCTCCTTCACCCCTCGCTCAGCCCCGGCCCCACGGCTCTGCGCGCAGGAACCCGGGAAAAAGCAGAGCAGAGCCCAGTCCACTGTGGCACAGGAGACAGAGTCCCCACAGGGCAAGCGCCTTGCCCAGGACAGTGGCAAGGCTGGGGTGAAAGTCCAGAACCCCAACTCTGAATCAAAATCCTCCACCCCCTATTCTGCAAGGCAGAGCTGGTCCTGCCCACTTTCTTCCCTTCCCAGGTATCCCAGGAGGCCTGTCACCGTGGAGACTGGCCACTCTAGGTAAAGCAAGTAAAGTGACACACTGTCTCCGGAAAAAGGATCCCTCTCTCAGCCAACCCAAATCCTAACTGTTCACTAGTAATACTAAATAATCACTGTTCTGACAACTAGCCCCATCTACCAAACACCTGTTCCATGGGGGTCACTTCACTCCCCATTGCAAGGAAAGGCAGGAATCAGCCTCGCCCCTCCAAGCTGGAAAGGGGCTGCCATGGGGGTGGCTTTGTGGGAGGTCCCACGGCTACTAGCAGGCAAGCTGGGAGAGGAACCCAGATCTGCCCGGCCCAGCGTGTCATTCAGCTAAGCCCCACTTGCTCTTAAACACTGTCCCCACAAAGATAGCTGCCTGGTTGTGACACCCCGAGAGTCCCCTTCGGTGCCACCCAGACCCCACCAGTTCCCCACTGTTGCCCAGTCCCCAGAAAAAGGAGCTAAAGGTCTACGTACAGCTCCAAAGCTCACCATGGGCGATCGGCCATAGGCGGCAGCTGCGGCAGCGGCGGCCGCGCTCATCTGTGGAGGGATGTTGTGGAGGCTGGCATAGGCGCCAGGGCTGGTGAGCGAGCCGTTCATTTCGTGGTGGCTCATCATGGCAAAGGGTGCAGCGTAGGAGCTGGTGATGGAGATGGGCGTGCGCAGGGCGGAGGCTGCAGGGAGGCGGGTGTCAGCGGGGGTAGGCCCTGCCCCTTCATCCACGGCAAAGCCACAGCTGCCCCCAGCCCCCAATCCAAGAGCAGTCCTTCCTGCATTCTAAACCTGCCTGTTCCAGGAAGTGCCCCTTGATTAAACCTATCCCATCAGGATCCCTGACTTCAGAGCCCAAGGTTAGGGCTGGGAGACAGGTCCACCTCTTGGAACAGAGCAGGACACAGAGACCCAGAGAACGGCTCTGGCTTGTCCCGAGCCTCATACACTCTGGCAGAGCCAGGAAGAGAAGACAGCGTCCTCACCTGTCCGATGTGCCCTCCATCTGCCTGCTCCTGCGTGGCCCCAGAAGCCCTGACATCAGTGTAAGAGCACTAGGCATCCATCTCTCTCCTCAAACCTCACTGTAAACTGTGCTCAACTCAGGCAGGCCCCAGGACAGCCCCAACTCCATTACACACCTGGTGATCAGGCCCATCTGTGTGGCCCGCGTCCCGGCTGGGGCAGACCCCCTCCCCTCACCAGCCCCACCATGCCTACCCATTATACCTAGTGGGTCCATGCCTGGATGTTTGCCCGGCATCGACCGGAGCCCTGGGGTCGTGCTGGTGCCTGGAGTTGGGGCATCGTTCCTTGGAGTTGGCGTGTTGGACTTGAGCCCGGGGGTGGAGGATTTGTCATTCTGAAAAGGGAAGATGAAGAGACCAAGGGCTGTGAAGATTCCTTTCTTCCAAGAACTGGGCACTTCGATACCCAGTGTTAGTTGCCACGTGAAGCCCAGTGCCAACCCAGTTAGGAACTTTCTGCTGAACAGCCTTCTGATCCTTGCTCAAGCTCATTTGGCAGGGACTGTGATCCCATTTTACAGATGCAGCAATCAAGGCTCAGAAACATTAAGTAACTATAACTAGCACAGGGCCCTAAGGAGCCCTGGTAGCACAATGGTTAAGCACTTGGCTGCTAACCAAAAAGCTGTTCAAACCCACCCAGCGGCTCCACAGGAGAAACAACCTGGCGATCTGCTCCCGTAAAGATTATAGCCTAGGATACCCTGTGGGGCAGTTTTACTCCATCCTATAGGGTCACAATATGTCAGAATTGATTTGACAGCACACAACAGCAGCACAGAGCCCAGCTAGTTTGGTGATAAAGCCAGAATTTGAACCTGGTCACACCCCAGGTCTGTATTCTTTCCACTCCACCCCTCCCCCTCCAATAAGCACCACTCTGGCCCCTGCTCAAAGTTTCCTTCCACCTCGCCCCCATCTCGCCCCGGCCAAAACCTTGAGGCACTTTCTAGAGACAAAAAATCTCTCTGCTACTGCCCTCCCCCGGCCTCCGCGGCTCCAGGCGCAGACCCCACGTACATGACCAAGGTCTTTGGTCTTGGAGGAAGGTGTGCTGCTGGAAGAGGCCACCGAGGCGGGGCTGGTGGGGGCGTCCTTTTTCAGGCCACGGGCCTTGTCCAGCCCATTTTCAGGTGGGGAGTGTGCCGGGCTGACCCGGGGCGTTGCTGGGTCCTAAAAACACAAGTGATGCCGAGATGCACGACAAGCCACAACCAGACGACAAGCCACAACCAGACGAGTGTCTTCCCTGCCCTGGGAAGGGGAAGGTAGAGGGCGCAGGCAAGGGGGAAACGAGGCTTGGCTGAAAGCCTGGCGGCCCTAATCGGAAACCAACTAGCTCTTAATGACCTCGTCTGATCCCTTCACTCCACAGATGGGGAGACTGAGGCCTGGCGTCGGCGAGAATGACCCACCCAAGATCAAACACAAATTCAAAGCGGCCAGGACCCAAGTCCAAGTGGCTGGGCGTCTAGGCCTAGCACTGATTCCCTCCAGCGCTCCCTGCCCTGCTGAGCCGATCCCGAGGCTCACAGCCCTCACCTCCAGATCCCAGGAGGCAGAGAGAGCAAAGAGTCCCCGGAGGAGCGTGGCAAACAGCTGTATCCCACCCTGGGATCTGTAAGGGTCTCTCCGGGGAGGCATCCCAGGGACCCCTCCGTGCTAACAACGTCCAGCTGCCACACAGCAAGACCTGCCCTGCGCCTCCCAACAGGCCTGACGCCCAGAAACCCGAGGCCTCGTCACCCTGCTTGGGCTGCAGTAATGCCGAGGCAGGAGCCGCGAGACACAGCAGTACCCAGCCTGAGGACGAACTATCCCAAACCAAGAGCCTCCCTGAAAGCCGGCCCGCCCTTACCTCATTGGAAACGTCCACCACCAGATCGTCACTCTTGTCCCCGTCACTGTCCTGCAACCAAGAGAAGCCAACTGCCCAGTGAGAGGCCACACCCTCCCCTCCAACAGCAGGCCTGAATCGCCCCCTCTTCCCCCCAGGCAGGAAGTGGTAAAGGTGGGATTTGAACTCGGGCCAAACCCCAGCGTCCATGTGCTTTCTAACTCCACCCCTCTGCCCTCCAACAAGCACCACTCCAGCTCCGGGTCAGCCTCCCTCCAGCCAGGGAGGGCTCCTAACCAGGCTCCTGTGTCCACTGGCAGCCTCAAGGACCCCCCCAGATCCCCACTCCATTGTCACATTTCTAAGCCCCACCCCCACCGTCAGCCCTTTAACTTGTCTCTCAGAAGCCAGAAACTTCTTTCCAGCATGTTTGCTATTCATCATCATACGCAAGCAAGCATGCAGTTCTCAGCCGCTTTCCTCACTGTGTCCAGGGTGGACAATGAGCCTCACCTCACAAAAATGCAGCTAAGGCTGTCGTGTGCAACATGTCCAAAGCCACAGAGCAGCCGAGTGACTGCACAGGGCTTGACATTGACACCACTGAGTCCACACGGGCGACTCTCCCCCAGCACCGCGCCACCCTTCCCTCTGTCCCAGCTCTCACCGCGGCCCAGCCCGGCACAGAGCAGACACCATGACCCCCCCACTGGGGCCTCATGTGCCAAGGGGTGCGGCAGATATATGTGACGGGCTACTGAAGCCACGGCTGTGGGGTCTGAGGGACCGAGTGGGTGCGCACAGACGGGGCAGACGGTCAGGGCTGTAGACAAAGCGTGAAGCAGACTAGGGTGTTGAGAGGACTGTGGCAGCAACCTGAGGTTGTTGGTCTGTCTGTGGAAGGAGCCGACTACCTTCCCTATGTCCCGTGGAGGTGGGATAAACCCCGGTTCACTCCCTGCCAGGCTGTGGCCCACAGCCCCACAGTGTAGGGACAAGCCTCCCTCAGCCCCTACCCAACCCTCCTTGATGGGGCCACTTCTTCTACCCCAACCTGTGCCTCCAACTCAATGCCCAGTTCCAAGAGGGCTTGGGCCACAACCCAGCCACAGCGTGGGCCCTGCAGGTGCCCCCCGTCCACCCCAGTCATTCCCAGCACACAGAGACGTACATATCGGCTCAGGCTGTCCTTCTCCTCTGCTTTCCGCTTCTTGGCCTCCAGGCTGTAGTCTGCGGAGCCCCGGTGCTTCTCACTGGCCCGGAGGCTTTCCAAGGGTGACACTGAGTTATTCTAGAAGCAAGGAGGGGACTCAGGGTCAATAATCTTCTGCTGATGTGACACTTCACACACAGAGAGACACAGCTAAGTGCAGGCAATACCAGGCCTCAGACGAGGGAAGACAATCTTAGCCCCTAGGTATTCTGCAGATCTTGGCTCAAAAAGCCTCCCTGGGGAGCCTTCCCCCACCCCCCAGACTAGGTCCCCTGGGAGATGCCCTCAGAGCACCCCGACTCTCTTCAATGTCACTGTTATTAACAAGCAGCCTTGCAATGAGTCATCTGCCCCTGGCCTATAAGACGGGAGGCCCCAGCAGGGCAGGGGGTCACTCCTGTCCCATCCACCAGCACATGTGCTCAAAGAAGGGGCAAGTCGAATTTGCAGAGTCTTGAAAGATGGATCTGAGCCCACACATTGGGGCCATGAGCAATACTTCATCTGCTGGACCCAAGAGGAATGGGAGACTGATAAGGAAGGAGCGGCAGCCTGCTGCCAGGCCTTCCTACGTGTAGATCAGCAACCTGGCATTTTGTGTAACCACCCAACTCCACTCCATGGCTCTGGCCGATGTTAGAGAAACACTAGGGTTGTAAAGAGACAAAATGCACCAGTGTGAAGTCTTCCCCTCTGAAGGACAGGAAAGGGTATGAGAACAGGTAGAATTAGCCCCTTTGTTGCAGTGGGATATAGGGATCCTGAGAGGCTGGAGGTAACTCTGGTGGCCTAATGGTTAAGGGCTACAGCTGTTAACCAAAGGTCGGCAGTTCGAATCCATCAGGTGCTCCTTGGAAACCCTATGGGGCGGTTCTACTCTGTCTTACAGAGTTGCTATGAGTTGGAATCGACTTGACGGCAACGGGTTTGGTTTTTGGAGAGGCTGGAAAACGTGCCCCAGATGTCCCAGACGCAGGCAGCACCAGGGAAACCCAGTTTTTCAGGCCCGGAGGAGCCTAATGAGTTTTCCCTTCCACTGTAAAGCAATGAGGATGAGAATGACTGGGATTTAGAGGCCTGGGAAGAGGGAAGGGGGCAAACAGCTGAGGCAGGAGATGCACTCGCAGCAGGGCCTGGGAGCGGAGCTCTCCCAGCAGGTGGGAGCCGCCATGGCCACGGACAGCACGCACTGGCTGACTGTCTGCCCCAGGCTGGGCGCAGGGAGGCAGAGCTACCGGCAGGGGCAACTGCCAGCAAACCTTTGCGCCAGGAGAATCAGACCTGGAGCAATGCCCTTCTCGGATGCTCTTGAGGTTTACTGCTTTGTTAGAGCCCAGTTTATATCCCTTCCTTCACTCTTATGGTCAGCCCCTCACCCACCGTCTGAGCACCTGGCTCAGGCCTGGTGCTGGACATCAGGAGAGGGGGATTAAGCAAGACAGTCCTGTCTCCAGGAGCGTATAGTCTAACTATAGGGAAGAAAGAAGCCAGCCAAGCAACAATCCCCACGCAGCACAGGGGTGACACGATAAGGTCAAGCGGGGACACAGAAGGCACATCTCTTCAGAAGAAGGGCATCCATCAAAGGCAGGCTGGATGAACCTTCGCATCACGTCCCCCCGTTACCAGAGTCCCATGCTGGCTCAGGGGTCCCTGGGTAGTACAAACAGTTAACGCGCTTGCTGCTAACCGAAACGCTGGCAGTCCGAGTCCACTCAGGGGCACCTGGGAAAAAAGGTCCGATGACCTACTTCCCCCTAAATCAGCCACTGAAAACCCTATGGAGCGCAGTTCTACTCTGACACATGTGGGGTCGCCAAGAGCTGGCATCAACTCGACAGCAACTGTTTAATGCTGGCTCAGGGGCAAGGGTCACTTGAAGGGAATGGGGACGGACAGCCGGGGGGCAGTGTTTGGAGGGACCGATGCAGGAACCATCCACAGAACTTAATTTCCTTTCCTAAGTCGGTTTCTGGGCAGCCCTTCCCTGCCAAGTTTCTGCCTGGAGCAAATTAAAATGGCAGAGTTATCAAGCCTTGAAGAAAAAATGGAGGTTATAATGGAACGGCAGCTCAACCTTCCCCGCAGCCATGCAGGAGAGCGGCGATGTGCGCACAGCCGCAATTCAATTAGCTGCTGCAAGTGCCGGCAGAAAAATCACCGTTATTTCATTTCATTTCCTCCCACGGTGGCAGCCACCCCGTGCTAAGCAGAAATACTTCCAGCCCCTTGCGCTGCCCCTGTTGGGCAGGCGGGTGGAGGAGGGCGTGCGGCTGCTCGTGTTTCTTCTTGCGACCTGGTCCTCGGCTCAGGAGAACAGCGAGCTCTTTCTTCTCATGCAGTCAGGCTGAAAACCCTCACCGCTACCGAGAGTCATGTCAGGCATTTTATGTCAGGCATTTAGCGGCATCGATCCAGCCCGCCTCTGGCTGGCAGGCGGCCAAAAAACTTAAGTATTTTTTATTGCTTCAGCGAGGCAAGGAAATATGAATGAAGCTACCTCTAACTGGACTCCAGACTAACCCCTCTGGGACCGTTTCCAGCCCCTCCACTGGCCCCTCCCACTCCGACAGCCCTGTCCTTCCTGCCATGGCCTCATCTGTTGACAACCTGGTTTCCAGAGGGCTGGTGACTTCAGTCTACACCCCCCCCGACTCCGCGGCCACATGTGCACGGCCCTGGTGCTGGCCTCACAGCCCGCCCAGGAAGGCATCCCGACTCGTTCCCGTTTGATTCTCCGGGGCCCTCTGCTCTGGTGGTCTGCGGTGCAGAGCTGCCCAGGAGTGTGGCAGAGCGAAGATCCCAGCCGGCAGGGGCTCTCCGTGGGTTCCTTTTGGCAGAAAGTGTTCACAGACTGGGGCACGAAGCCAAGAGTCAACACAAATGACGATGAGGACAATGTGAAGGCGGAGTCTGGCGGGCTTCAGACGCCCCTTTTGCTCTGCAGCCAGTCATTGCTAACCAGGTCATCTCCTGGGCTCCGTGTCCTGTTCTAAGTAGCTCTTTCTAATAAAGCTGAGAGGCTGGCTGGGCAGGACTTACCCCATGTTACAGATAAAGAGGAGCCCTTGACTGGTGCAAATGGTTAAGCACTCGATTCCTAGCCGAAAGGCTGGCGGTTTGCACCCACCCTGAGGTGCCTCAGATGACAGGCCTGGCGATGTGCTTCCAAAAGGTTACAGCCTTGAAAACCCTATGAGGCAGTTCTATTCTGCACACACAGGGTGCCATGAGTCGGCACTGACTCAACGACAACTAACAACAACGAATAAAGAAACTGAGGCTCAGAGAGACCAAGAGAGCTACCCAATGGCCCATAAAGCTGGGGCCAAGTCTAAGCCTTCAGAGATCCAGTCCAGTGCTGCTTCTGCAAACCACCTCTTCAGAAGGACCACCATTTGAGGATTAGCTCCAAAGCATTCCAACTGGATTTTCATCTCCCGCTATTCCTTTCTTATGAACTTAGCCATTCCTGGGCCCCAAATGTGGACCTACATTTCTGAGCACGGAGGCAAGTCAAGGGGAGCCGTGAGCATCCCTGCAAATGGGGTTTAAAAAGTCAGTCTGGGTGGGGGGCTGGGAAGGGAAGGCAAGGTAAGCTGGGATAGAGGGGAGCCACCCCAGGAAGCGGCTGCTGAGACGGTTAGTTAACCGCCTGACCTTCCAAGTCCTACTTAACGCAAGGTAATAACCAAAGCCATCCTAACAGATTAGATGGCCCGAGACACGAGTACGGCGATGAGGAATAAAACAGCTTTGCTAATCGCCGGAGGATTTTTTTCATCCAGCCTCCACCGCACTTATTCAGAAGGCTTATTCACTTGAAACAGAAGCTCTGAGCCTCAGTGTGATCAGAAAGATTTACAACAAATCTCGGAGCTGGCAGACACGCAGGCGGCCTGGCCTGCGTGCTCGCTTGCTAGCACTTCCTTAAACTTAGTTAAAGCCCAAGGCATGGAGCAACCTCAGGCGTTTGGAGGAACTGAGGAGAATACAGGATCACAGAGGAGGCAACTGGGAGGTGGAGAGAAAACCCTGGCCTGGGACATGGGACACCTGGGTCCCAAGCCCCGACTGAGTTCAGCCCAGTGATCTCACAAACTCCCTTGGCAGAGCCAGGGCTGGCCAGCTGACCTCTCCGTTAATCACCTCTTCTATAAAAGGGAGTTATTAGGGCTTATTCAGCCCAAGGTCTTCATTTTACAAACGATGGACCAAGAGCCTAGAGAGATGAAGGGACTTCCCCAACCCAAGGTCACCCCCAACAGGTGACAGCCACCCCCCTACCCCACCCCCCAGTCTGGATTAAAGAAGCCAGGTATCCCAGCTCTGGGCACAAGCAAACAAAGGACAACCGCTCCAGCCTCCACCCACGCAGCAGAGCGGAAAACCCAGAGCCCGTTTAGCAATTCTGGAAGCAAGCTGCCAGTTCAGGAGCCCCCCACCCAAACACATCACAAGTGTCCATCACTTACCGCGCTTGATTCTCTCTCTTTGGGGAAGAAAGGCCAGGTCAGGAGGAGGGTCAGGTCCCCCAAGACACAAAGACAAAAAAGAAAAGAAAAGGTCAGTCTCAGTCCAGCTGGCTTCTGTGGTTTGCTAGTTCACTGGTTTTAAAATGGGCAGCAGGCCGGGCTCTCTGAGTCCAGCGCAGCCAAAGCAGGCCATTAAATGAAGTTTCTCAGCTTGGAAATTAACTATCCAGATTCCAATGCCCCCCCACCCTAGTCCCCTGGGGGTGCAGGGGAGGCCTTTGGCCTAGCTCTCCTGGACATGCCAAAAATGGCACCAAGATTACTGTTTAGCAGACTTGGGTTTGTTAAGCTTCAAGCTTGGGAGGGAACAGGCAATGCAAAGGAGAGCAGATGAAGGATCTGGGGGCTAGAAAATTTACTGGGAAAAAAAAATTGGAAATAGTTTTCAGTTAGTCTTTTTTTTCTTTTTTTCCCAATCATTTTTAATGAACACCATTCTCTGCTTCACCAAGAAGCCCCGGGACGCTATAGCTTCTGGTTATCTGCCAGACAAGCACGAGTTCCCAGATTCTCCTGTCTGTTTTGGGGAGGCCCCTCTTCATCTGCCAAGGGGACTGTCCTGTTCCCAAAGCTTACTGCTGCCCTGGGGCAGGACAAGGACACTCCATGGCCCTGGGGCCCAAGGTGAGGTGCATGGCGGGCTTGGAAGGTACTTGCCGGTGCTCCTGGAAATATCTTTCTGACGGTAAAACCTACAAGGTGGTGACTTTTGAAAAGGAGTCTGCCAAGAGCCAGGCCCTTTCCTTTTCTGACCCACCCAGCCCCGTGTCCCTCCTTGGTGCCAGCTTCCAGAGTCCTTGTGGCAAGGGCTGAAGGGTGGGGGGAAAGCAGATGTTCTGATTCCAAGTCTTCCCAGTCATCTCCCCGCTGGAGAGCTTGCTATCTCCACTTAAAGTCTGTCAACTAACAAGTCTTCACTGTAGCACCGACTGTATACCTTTTCCAAAACTCCTGTGTTGGTGAGACACATATGCTAAAGAAAGCACCCAGGACCTTGGCCCCATCCTCAGAGAACTAATGATCTTCATGAGGATGAAGCACTCCCCAGGGACAGGATGCAGCAGGCAGCAATACAGGGACCGACCACAGGAACCCGACTCTTAGACTTTTATGGGAATTTGAAAAAGGTCCCCAGTCTGGCCAGGAAGGCATCTTGAAAGAAGGGGACAGGGACTGGGTTTTGAAGAAAGCATGGGGACATAGCTAGGAAGATGGGAGGGTACTCTGGGGTGAATACTTTTGGGCAGAGAATACCGGGTACAGGCGAAGATTGAGGGGCTAGAGAAAAGGATGGAGAACTGATTTCCATGGGTGAGGGATTCAACAGACAGCTCTAAGTCCTTTGCTAACTCCTGGTCCTAGCGTGGCATATTTGCTATATCCACTCATCGTGGGGCTCACAGCCAAAGTGTCCACCCAGCCCTCCCCTACCCTCTCTCCCGGCCCACCCCCACCCTCTCTCCCGGCCCACCCCACCCTCTCTCCGAGCCCTGGGCCGCACCTCTGTGGTCAAGTTCATGGTGGTTCTTCTCGTCCTTCACTGTCAGGTGGGCCTGGCTGCCCAGGGCACCAAGCGCCAGCAGCCCTGAGCTGCTCCCCGTCACTGGGGGTATCCCTGGAGGCTGGAGGCCCGATGGGTGGGGTGGCAGCTGGACCGGGGGCCCATGCGTGGCGTGGGAGAGATGCTGCGCCTGGAGCTGCTGCTGCTGCAATGAAGGTGGCGTGAGCACAGCTGAGCCACCTCGTCAGGGAGGGGCTCTGCCACCCCCTCGTTCCTGCATCAGGCGGCCAAAACGGGGAAAATGCCCCCAAAACCTTTGCCCTCAGCTCAGTCCGCATGCTCATCTTGCTGAAGGAACAGTTTGCTAATGGATGGCAGTTTAGATGCAAGATTTGTCTACAAATACTCTATCCCCAGTTTCAGGACAGGAATTCTCAACGTGTGCTTCCAAGCCAGAGATAAATAATGCATGCATTTAAAAACCACAGTCACCAGGGCTCCCCTCCATTCAGGGGGATCCAGGTTTAAGTTCCTAGCAGTCACCTTGTTTGCTCAAGCATACATGCCTTCAAATGTTAGCAGCCAGCATCTCCTACTCCAAGGCTGTATTCTGGGCAGACTCCCCAGTTCTGAGAAACTCCAGGCCTGGCTTACAGAGCTGGGGTGGGCCACAGCAGAAAAGCCCAGAGAGCAGGAAGAGCTGGGGACCAGTGGAATGAGAACTAAGATCACTGGGCATCAGGGGCCAGTGGAATGAGAACTTAGATCACTGGGCATCAGGGACCCGTGGAATGAGACTCAGATCGCTGGGTATCAGGGGCCGGCGGGATGAGAACTCAGATTGCTGGGCATCAGGGGCCGGCGGGATGAGAACTCAGATCGCTGGGCATCAGGGGCCGGTGGAATGAGAACTAAGATATCACTGGGCATCAGGGGCCAGTCAAATGAGAACTTAGATCGCTGGGCATCAG